GGGGGCGGCCAGCCGGGAGCTGGCGGAGTGGTCACTGTGCTGGGGACTTAATATTCCTGTTTTATTGTTTCTAACAGTCTCTGTTGCTGTTTTCTCTGCCCCAGTTCTCTACGGTTATTTTCAGTTGAGAAAATAGAGATGGTCAGGCTCCTGCTTTTTCCCTTCTTAGTCTCGGTGAGTTGGCACCTTGACCTTGCCTTGAGCAGAATCTGTGTCCTGGCCTGCGGGGGAGATCCCGGAAAGGCAACAGCAGTGAGTGATGTAATTAAATGATCGTGAGGTGGGGCGGGGGTGGGGTGGGGTGGTGGACTTTTCCATTAATTATCAAGTTTGGGTTCCTTTCCTGACCTCCTAAAGCACTCACTGTAATCAAACCCAATCTTCCTGCATTTTGTGGGCGTATATCTCGGCTTTCCTAAGAGATTGCAAACTCGATGAGGACAGGAGGACCAAATTGTGAGCAACTTGGAAGTGACCAGTTTATTTTGTTTACCATTTTATCTTCAGTGCTTGACATAGTGCCCTGCATGGTAAGACATATCTCAGTCATTAAGCCGATAAATATTTATTACGAGTCTATTATATAAATAAATACAGTAGAGGAGGCACGGTGCTCTATTTATCTGTGTCATTTGTGCCTAGCCCAGAGTTACTAACAAGTGCCTTAAGATTCTTGCTAGCAAACTTCAAGTCCGGGCTGGATGTTCTGCCACTAGTTTGCCGTGGGACCTCAGACAGGTAGCAATCTTTCAGTTTCCTACTCTTTAAGTGGTTCCATTAGATGACCTTTAAAATCCTTTCCATTCCTAAAATTCTGTAATTGTGTGATTATAATGTCTGCCCAGCCCAGCTCCCCTGCTACTGTTCAAAAGTTCAGATGAAGATTTATAGTAGGCGAATGGGCTTTGAAAATTACAAAGAATTTCTCAAAATCCAAGCCTTTTTCAAATAGAAAGTTTGCTTCTAAGGGTTGAAATACCTTCACATTCTTTGTAGTCTTCATGTGCCTAATAACACTTCCCTGTCAAAAGGTAACTATTAAATTCTTCAATGAATATTTACTGATTGAATAAATGAACCCCACAGCAAAATAGTACAATTTTCAGTTTCTAATTACATTTTTGTCCATTTCACACTTGCAAAAGTAACCTTACTGAAAAATCTGAATGCCGATTTGCAATGGGGCCAACTTGAAAGTAACTGAGTGATAATTATTCTTCAAATAATGATACCCTCTTTTAGATGCCATCCAAGACGAATATCTCTTGTATCAATCCAAGTGGGTTGTGTCACAAAAAAAAAAATCAATTTAAATTATTGTTCTTACGATCAATCCAAGAAATGTGCCAATGCAAGGAGGGCAGGCTTCTCAGTCATTAAATGTGTGTACTTAAAAGGACAAAAGAGTGTCCTCTTTGTTATTAAAGGAGACAGAGACTGTTCTTCCAAAAGCACCTGTACTACCCCAGCCTGAATCCTCCTATAAAAGGAACACTGTCCAGCAGGTTGTGGTTTTTAGATGGGTAGAGAGGAAAGGTCCTCCCTCCTCCCCAAATTGCAAGTGCTCTTTGCCAAAGCCCAAGACAGCTATTTTCTTCTCTTCAGAAAGGTTTTCAGAGCTTTTGCAGGATCGTTTGCTTAATGCCTTCTTTCTATGCCCTGCTAACCTCCTTTTCGGTCTGGATAAGTGGGTGAGAATTCCCCTAAGAGAGGAAAACCAGATTCAAGAGTCAAAACTTAAATAAAGTCCTACCCAAATAAAGGACTGGAAAAAGTAAAACGGAAAAAAATAATAAATTAGTGGGTTCAAATGTTCTGGTCTTAATCTGTTATTGTCCTAGCAAAATTTAGATTGTTTTGGTTTCAAAATGAAGTTCTTCCTGAAGAATTGGTACAAGTTGAGCTGATTTTTCCTCCCCAAAGAATTTAAAACTCTCAGCTTTTAAAACACACCTATTACAATGATCCCTTTAAAATGAAAGCATTTGTGGCCCATTTGCTGAGAATGCATAGAGGGCAAGCACTTGTTTCCGGCCCGATTTTAATTATTCATTTGAGAAAAAAGTTACACAGATATGGATGAAATTGCCTCCAAGTATTGTTGTGTTGGGTTTTTTAACATAATATTTCTGTTTTATTCTTTATATGTCTGATCCTCGTTGACTGATGTCAACAAGCAGAAAGGGAAAGTACCAGAAATTCTCTAACCCATCTTCTTTTTCCAGAAGACTTCAAGAAATAGGCTAATCATGGGGAAAGTGGGCTGGTCTGTTTCTAGGTGTTTTCATTCCAACAATCCACTAAGCAACCCAACAGATTTTACTAATATAATATATTAAGAATGAGTCATTTATTAGGAAAATAGTAGCTGTCAAAGGCCAGTAGAGAGTATAGATCTGTAATTCCAATAGCGAGTCTTTACATTGTACATATGAAAAATATGCCACCTCCTTAACCTAGTTACCATCATTTCTCACCTGGACTAGCACAACAGCCTCCTAACGGTCTCCCCTTACCCGACAATTGCTCTGTTCCATCTTATCTCTACCATTGTCACCACCAAAGTGGAATACAAGTAAGTCTCCAAATGGTACCATGGTACCACAAGGTAAGTCATTGTGTACCAGAAGAAAGTAATGGCCCTATTAATATTTAATTACTGAATATATATATATATATATATATGTTGTGTGTGTGGAGTGAGAGAGAATATCGTATCTCTGAGCACTTGGAGCCACATGCTGATTTGTGTGCATGATCAATAAAGTTTAGATGCCTTGCTCTACAAAAGCATTATGTTGTGTGTGTGGAGTGAGAGAGAATATCGCATCTATGAGCACTTGGAGCCACGTGCTGATTTGTGTGCATGATCAATAAAGTTCAGATGCCTTGCTCTACAAAAGCGGTCTTTCAACAGTATGAGAAATATCATTTCTTGCCACTATTGAAAACCCTTCACTGACCTATCATTGCAGACAGAATAAAATCCACACTCTTTTCCATGGCCAATCAGGCCTGCAGGAGCTGGCCCTGCCTGTTCCTTGATCACATGTGCAGCGCTCTCTCCTTACCCAGATACTCCACCCACTCTGAGCAATCCCTTCCTCTAATGTGCCAAGTGTTTTCCAACTCACGACCTTTGCCTTGCTGTTCCATTTTCCTGGAATGCCCACCAGCACCCCCAGTTCTCATAGCTGACCATTTTTCTTTGAGACCTTGATTTTAAATATACTTCCTTATACTTGCCCTGACTCCTTACCCAAGAAGAAATTCCTTTTATGTTTTGTATTAGTTACTTCTTAGCATATATTACAGCCTTCAGTTATTTTATTTGAATGTTTTTTCTCTAATACTTCCAAAAAACTGCATGGGTGAAGGGTAAGGACTAAGTCTCTCTTATTCATCTGTTCTTTCTCCCCTGCCTCCTTCATTGCCTGGCTCATTGTATATGCTCAGTAATGGCTGAGCAACACAGGTGTAGCAACCCTACCTGCTTAACTTCTAGTAGTTAACACTTTGTAAATCAGACCTGTACTTATGTCAGAAACCAAGCTAAGGATGTACATATATCAGCTCATTCTTTTTTATTTTTATTTTTATAAAATTTATCTCAGCTGAAACTATTATTGTATCATATAGTACCCCTTTACAGATCATGTTAACTACCCAGTGTCACAGCAATTTAGTATAAAAAGTATGGCTTCAATCTAAGCATCTTATACCTAATATATTTTTGACTCATGCAATACTGTAACTACTCCAAATCCAACTAATAACAGATAACGTTTATTGATGACTTACTGTGTGCCAGGCAGTATAATTAGAATCATTTGCAATAACGTTGAGCAAGCGATTTTGGAAACAAATAAGCAAGTTTTTTCTTTAGGCTGAAGGGAAAATTTATATTCTTCAATTTATATTTGCTTCTATTTGGTGGAGGGGGGCGTAATGCTAAAGATAGTGATGTATTTACTATACACACATAATCTTACTGAAAGAACTATAGTCGCAGTGGTTTTTCTTCTTCCCCTTTTCCTTGTTCTCTCCATATTTGATGAATACATTGGCCTTGGCTGCACTAAATCACATTATATGTTTTATCATCAGAACAATGTCTTTTAATAGCTTTGAAAATATTTGACTCCCTTGCCATTCCATTGAGACAAGGAGTCTTGCATTTCATATCAATTTAATGAACCACAGAAAGAAAACCAGGGAGTATAATATGCATACTCATCTCATTGGCTGCTAAGGAGGTAGATGGGATTTTTTTTAAACTTTCTTTAAAAATATTTTCAGTTAAAACAAATGCCAGCCTAGGTCTGAATCCAGTCATTGTATCTCTTCTCATACACCCAATCTACATGGCTTTAACAGAAGGGCTTATACCCTCTTATCTATAAAGATAAGTCTAAGATTATCTCCCTGACTCATAAGTATGTTATAAAAGTTAGTTCAACTTTGTGCGCCTCTTAGAGATAACAACACTATATTGTATTTAAGAAACTC